ACCTTACTTGAATAAACATTTATTTATTTATTTATTTATAAGAAATATACCATACCTGGATATTCACTATACAAATATGCAGATGTTAAGCAACTATGAATCTCGTGCATTTTAAATGTACCGTACATGAATGTATTCTGTTTAGACTAGATAATAAAACTAGGCTTCCACACTATTGTACTGGACCAAGCTGAAAGGGTCCACCCACACGGTACTAGGCTACAGAGAAACACCCTTCCTGGTGGCGGAGCGCTGTGTCCCCATAGGCCAGGCTCTGCTCCAAGCAAGCACCAGGGACCAGATTCACGAAAGCATTACGCAAGCACTTACGAACCTGTACATCTTTTCTCAATCTTTGGCGGCTTTGTTTCCAATTATTAAAGAGTTTACAAGCATGAAAAAATCAACTGTTGTTATTGTTATAAACAGCCTCCTGGTGCTTCGGAGCTCATTAACTGTTTAATAATTGAAAAAGTCGCCAAAGATTGAGAAAAGATGTACAGGTTCGTAAGTGCTTGCGTAAGTGCTTTCGTGAATCTGGCCCCAGAGCTTTGGCTTCAAGTTCTTACGCGTCCAGTTATTAAGATCTGAACCTATTTTTTGTCGATCATGGCAGCTTAGTTGGGATTTACTAAACTATTTACGAGCTCTAAGGAACAAGGAGGTCATCATTAACAATAATAAATTTGGGTTGGAGACCTCGTAGCGCTTCAGAGCTCGTAAACTGTTTAATAAATACAGACTAAACCGCCATAACCGAGACAAAAGATAACAGATACAAGTGGACGGGTGAATGTGGACTTGCTTGCGCAGACTCTTTGCTAACTGAGGGACACGTATGTAATCTAGCACGTACTAGTTCATCGTAGAGGGTCCTTTTCATTCCTCTACAAATGGAAAATATTAGAGGGGCTGGTCCCAAACCTGCACACAGAAATAACACCACATGAGACCAGAAGGCATGGCAGGATGTGCAGAATACCCCCGTTGAAGAGCAGAGGTGCAACAGGTACTCTGAGAGAGAACTCTATCAACATCAGAGGCCCGAGACTGTTCAACACGCTTCCACTACACATAAGGGGCATAACTGGCCGACCCCTCACTGTGTTCATGAGAGAACTTGACTAACACCTCCAAAGGATACCTGATCAACCAGGTTGTGACTCAACGTCAGTCTGCGAGCAGCCGCGTCCAACAGCCTGGTTGACCAGTCCAGCAACCAGGAGGCCTGGTTGAGGACCGCGCCGCGGGGTCGCTAAGCCCCGAAATCATCTCAAGATAACCACTGAGATAGGTTTTGTCCTGCCAGCTTTGAGTTGCAGATATTTCGTCGATTGGAGAGTTTGAAGGCTGGAATTCCAGAGACATTGACTGTTCCGCTGGTCTCGTGTCTTCTCCTTGTCGTCAATATTGCCATTGGTATGAGTCACAGAACCAGCCAGTCATCCTTGGACAAAGTTACGAGATATAAGCACCACTTCATTTGGTATAGCAGTATGTGAGTCCTGGTCACACACACACACACACCTCTTCCTCCTCCATACAGTAGCAGCACAAAATCCGTTGAACATATTGCTTGATGCTGTCCAGTCCCACATCTAGTGTGGTTTTCCGCCCAGATGTTCACAATTCAATATTTGTGAGCTAGACTTAGAATCTTTGTGATAAGGGTATTATACTCCTCACGTGTCGTAGAAAGACAAGTATAAACTCTCCTCTACACAACCTTTTCTTTTCTAATCAGATCAATATATCCAGGTACATTATGTCCTGGGGACTAGTTGATTGTTGTGACCTTCATCACCACACGATAAAATCAGGCATGTATTTTATTGTCCAGGGCAGTCTAATTATGGCTTTGTAAGAGCGATAAGATCTACCATTAATGTATAATGACTTAATGTAAATATATAGCTATTGAAATAGAACATTCTTTGTAACTAGCTGACATTGTCATTATAAAGTGTGAAGGATAGATGAAATTGTTTATGCAATAAATTTCGTTGAGGTCTGATAAAGACCTTTTGTGCCCTCTGTAATCCTTTTTGCGCTACCGCTCACAGGATGAGTATGGGGTGCACAATAAACTAGCGGCCTCCGGCGGGAACAATCAAAATCTACTGAGATTAATAGTACATAACGTAAACACTGGTGCCTGCAACGGTTCGTTTGTGTAGGCTCGACCAAACAGACGGGCACGGGTAATATAAAACTCTTCTCTGGTTCATCATTCCGGTAAAAATGCACAATTCTCTCGGTTGAGGAAGTACCAAGTAGTGTACCAGGTGAATCCTTCCGTTACCAGGTGGTGGTAACGGAAGGATTCAAAAAATTCAAAATTCAAAATGTTTATTCAGGTACGTACGTTCGTTCGATTGCTTCCATTAGGTTAATTACGTATCACCCCTCCCCGTCTCCAATTACAGCAGGACTTCCCAACAACTGAATTACTCCCACTACCAGGAGGCTCCAGTCGACTCCCTCCAGTAGCAATAGGACTCTCCAGACTTCCTCTAGTATCTGCAGGCAACGGACTGTATCTTAGCAGTAGCGGGACCTAACTGATTTTTCCACTAGCTGTAGGTGATCCCTAATGACCCTCCGCCAAGTAGCAACTGGGACCCCAAAGGTCTGCAGTGCCAGCTGGACCTTCTGCCTCCACCCCCCTTTCTAGGCCAGACAGCACCGCTCCTATGCCAGGTAAGCTACGGGCTCACCATAGCCCGTGCTACTTGGAACTTGTTCGAGTAACTGAATCTATAACAACTGCCTCTCCCTCCCTCCCAACAGTAGCACTAACACCACCCAGCTTCCCGGGTCCCGGAATTACGGTCCCAACCGCAGATGTTCATTGTCCTCTCTGTGTTTGCACGCGCGTGTGTGTGTACTTACCTAGTTGCGTTTGTGGGGGTTGCGCTTCAGCTCTTTGGCCCCGCCTCTCAACTGTCAGTCAACCGGTGTAGATTCCTAAGCCTATTAGATTTTATCATATCTACATTTGAAAATGTGTATAGAGTCTGGCGCCACCTCTGCCTGTGTGTGTGTACTTACCTAGTTGTGCTTGCGGGGGTTGAGCTCTGGCTCTTTGGGCCCGCCTCTCGACTGTCAAGCAATCAACTGATTCCCCCTCCCCACACACGTATGATAAGTTCCCTATTATACGTGCTTTTAAAGTTATGAATGGAGTTTAGATGTTAATAGATAAGGAGTGAGAGACGGGAGAGTGGAGCAGCTGACTTAAATGGACATATAAACCTTGTGTAACAGCCAGTAATGTAATGCTCTTAAGCTATATATAAAGCTATGATACCTTGTTACATTTCTTACCAGTTTTAAATGTTCTGAGAACCTCTGTAATCTTTTAGCGTTACCCCGTTCGTATCTCACGTAGAGGAAATTGTTGATAATTAGAACAAACTTGATCAAGATAAGAGATATGAAGATATAAAGCGTTCTTGGCAGAAAGGTGACCTATGATAAAACTCCAAGGAGCGACCGGTGCCTAGTCGAGTGAAGATTACTAGGCGAGCCCAGGAGCTAAAGCTAAACTCCCGCAAACACAACAAAGTGAGGACTCATATTTTACTAAGCTTAAAGTTGTCAAGCCTAAATTAATTGTCACTTAACGCCCTAAACTAGAATGAGCAAGTTTACGAATTAATTAATTACTTTAATTATTATTTACTTTAATTATTATTTACTTTAATTATTATTTACTTTAGTTACATATTATAGTATAATTATTAATGAGGACCCTGCCATTGGGTGTTTATTTACATTCCACTCCCTTAGCCTAGTATTTCCAGTGTTGCCAAAAGCCCAGAGTTCATTGAACGTGATTAGTTCCGTTAGAGTTGATTGGTTGAGATCTCGCTCCTGTAGGGGTGATTATGATCTAATTGCCCAGGGTTGATTGTGATCTGACCCTCCGTCTGACGATTAAGCGTGATTGATCCACATAATTGATTCCGTGAAGGTTTCCGTTTTCCTATCAGAGACCTGATCTCTGAATTTTTGGCTATGCCTTTGTAAACACAGCCCCCCATCCCTCTCCCACAGAGCACCGAACGCTGTTTACGCTGTTCAAGTCAGGTCAGGTCATCAGGTCAAGGGTCAACAATGAAGGACAAGGTTGTTGGACTCTTTCCTCCTTCTATGAGCGCTCTGTACACCTTTGTCACTCCGAGAAGATGGAAATAAAGCACTTGTGGGGCTCTATCACGAGAGCTTCCTGAAGCTCTAAATATAGTTAGCTCTATAGCCCTATATGTGTTCCATATATAGGGTGTTCTAAATATAGTGAGTTCCATATAGAGGAAACTTTAAAAATAGTATGCGTTCCATATAGAGGAAGTTCTAAATATAGCATGTTCCATATATAAAGAACTCTAAATTTAGGGTGTTCCCCTACATAGTGAGCTCTAAATAAAAGGTATTCCATATATAATGAGCTCTAAATTAAAGGTATTCCATATATATATATATATATAATGAGCTCTATATAAACTGGGTGTTCTATATATCCGAGCACCATGACCAGAGGTGTGTAAATATAGCAAAGCTCTAATTTAAGGCCAGTCAGCTGTAATTTAAGGTTCGTCACGTAATTAAGATAAACCTGCTTCAATTAGGGTCAGCCAGCTGTAATTAAGGTAAATTGCCTCTGAATCAAGGGAAATCGTTCTTAAATCAAGGGAACTCAGGTCTAAATTATGGCTCAGGTCTATTACCGTAGACCAGCTCAAGCTGAATGGCTTCAAACTAACTAAAAATAGGCCTACTTTAAATAATAATAATAATTCGTTCTGTCGCGGGGACAGGCAGCCAGTGTGTGTATACGTTAGGCTTATCGAGGTCCTCCCATTCCCTACCCCCCCCCCAAAGACGCCACCCCACAACAAGATGACCCAACTCCTGGGTAACTACTTTCTGGTAGGTGAACAGAGGCATGAGGTGATAGGAAATGCGCCCAACCATCTGTATATATATATATCACCCACCTGACAGTAGTAGTATTAGTGTGGTTGTGCAGTCGTGACGGCGCACCATGGCTTTCTTGACGAGGTCCTCTCTTTGCTGATACTTAAATAGCCATTTGCACAAGCTTCGCTGTTAACTTATATGGTCATTGTTTTTTTGGTTTTGGTTTCTTAGCAACAAATTTTGTCTAACACCCGCCCTGCAGGAAGAGTAACTGAACACTAAAACCTTTTAAACCGACCGCGTGTCTGCCTGGCCAGGGAAAACAGGTTGTCATACCACCCGTGTCGGAATGAATATTAACAGTTTATTCTACTAAATGCAGCTTTAATAACCGAGTTTGCTTTATATAACTTCATAAATGTAATCCATTTCTTTATATTCCAGGTTACAGGATAAACAGCTTCTGCCACTGCTTTTTGACGCTCGGATTTGCCAAGAGACGACTACGTCCGGCAGTGGTGCAGCCAACACCTGACCGGCCAGCCGCAACTGCCATGTGCTTCATTCATGTCACAAAGGCTTGTCCAGGCACGGGTAAATGATCACATGAACCACATTATAAATTAAGTGATAAACAATAATACCAGGATGGATGCAGTCCATCAAAACATGTTGTGGACTTCAGATTCCAGCTCCTTGAGTCACTAGGAGTATTCTTACCTGGAAATGTGACGTCATACCTCATAGCCAATCACGACAACCAACTGTGGAAAGATTTTTGTCAAAAATTTATATTTATTCATTTTGTAGAATTTAAAGCACCGACAATAAACGAACACTGGACTATACAACAATGTTAGCATGCAAATTATATTACGGCAAGGCCACTATAACCCGCAAAGGAAATGATATTAGATATAACAACACATAAAACACTATTTGGCACCACAGACAAGGGAGCGTGACTGGCCAATAGCATGGCCGGAACGGAGCATCTTCCCCCCCCCCCCCAATGGCCAGGCCGGCCATTGATCGCTATAGCGGCATATTGACCACTATAAATACCATCAGCACTCGTTAAGTACATCTTATACTTGAAACTATTCGTCGTTTAGCCTCCTTTAAGGAGAAGGACCACTGCACTAAGGCATTTCTTTACGTAAATGTGGATTTCAATTACCTTTTAATATGGTCTCGGATATTTTCTTTCACAAGAGTAAAATTTGGAAGGGATATTATATTTGGAGACTTAATGCATGAGATTCAGGCGGAAATTCCGGCAGGTTGGTAACAAAAATACAAAACAATGCAAGCAAGCACATCTGTACCGGAAACTGCCTCAGGGTCGCTGACTCACACGCCGTCTGAGGGTGGGTTGGGGACGCCCACCACGTCTGAGGGTGGGTTGGGGACACCCACCACGTCTGAGGGTGGGTTGGGGACACCCACCACGTCTGAGGGTGGGTTGGGGACACCCACCACGTCTGAGGGTGGGTTGGGGACACCCACCACGTCTGAGGGTGGGTTGGGGACACCCACCATGTCTGAGAGTGGGTTGGGGACGCCCACCACGTCTGAGGGTGGGTTGGGGACGCCCACCACGTCTGAGGGTGGGTTGGGGACACCCACCACGTCTGAGGGTGGGTTGGGGACGCCCACCACGTCTGAGGGTGGGTTAGGGACGCCCACCATGTCTGAGGGTGGGCTGGGGACGCCCACCATGTCTGAGGGTGGGCTGGGGACGCCCACCATGTCTGAAGGTGGGTTGGGGACACCCACCATGTCTGAGGGTGGGCTGGGGATATATATATGACAATTGGCCTAGTTATATAATCCTCTGAACTGTGCGTGTTGACGAGACGTTCATATCATGTGAGCATCATTATAAAGTTTGGCCAGTCTTATTATTGTTGTCTTTACCTTCCTTCATTATAGTGTTTACCTCCTCCCAGTGTTTACCTTTTCGCGGTGTTGTTGTTGCTTTACAGGGGACGATGATCGTAGGGTCGGATGCGCCCCAGCGTACCCGATGTATACTAAATGTATACATTATAAGTATAAGTATATATATATATATATATATAAGTTAATCGCGAAGCCCGGAAAGGTGAAACGTCAAGCCAAATCGCGAAACGAGTGACGCCAATCACTGGAAACTAATATGCCATGCGGCAAATAAACGCACAGACGGACAGATGATTGGGGAGCCCCAGGAGTCCCTCAGGGTGACAAGCACCGGCCCCGCTCCACACAGAGAACACCAGGTAGCAAAACCAAAAACTCGGCCCCCAACTAAAACGCAAAAGTCTTCCAGTGTCCCCCGGCAGAGCAGAAGCCGGCCGTCCACCACGACCGAGGGCACACCAGGAGCCCACCAAGACCCGCCATGCACCCTAAGCACCTCTCGGCCATGCCAGCGACGGACACCGTCACCCCGCCGGGAGAACCAGCCAGAACACGTCAAAAAAATCTATCAACAATCCCGTGATCCAAGGCGATATGTGCGCCAGGCGTCGTGCAACCGGACCGTTGGATAGGGATGCCAAATGGCAGTAGCAAAGCCAAAACGCGAAAACAGAACGTGATCAGGCGGCTCCCAGGCGGAGGTGTCCAGACGTCCGCTCGTCGTCAAGGTTGAACCAGGAGTCCTCTTCCCGGTGTTTACCTCCTTCCAGAGTTTACCTCCTCCCAGTGTTTACCTCCTCCCGGTGTTTACCTCCTTCCCACAGTCGAATTATTGACCCCGCCCAGGATGATGGTTATTAAACGATTTGGCGGGTCGTATTCCGGGGAAAAAATAGGATTTAGGACTTACCCGAAACGCTATGCGTGCTGGTGACTGTACAAGAATGTAAGAATTCTTGTATATATATATATATATATATATATATATATATATATATATATATATATATATATATATATATATATATATATATATATATATACATAAAATAATAATAATAAACAAAAAAATATTGATTTCGAAGTGAAAAACAAGAAGTATGCCCTTCACTCAGGCTCAGTTTTCTACGATTGAAATATTACTACGAACGTACTATTTACTAAGTTTTAATATACATTACAAATGAAAATAAAAATTAAAAAAAGTATGCCATATGGAATTTAATATATAAGTATATATACATAACTATATTTGTAAATTATATTAAACATTTTTGTGTTTGTTTACAAATTGTACTTTAGGTTCATTACGCCTGTATGTTTACGTTCGTATTGGTGTGGAGGTCGTGTCTGGTCCTGGTGCAGTCATCGGGAGGACAAACCCTTCCTGCAAACTGCACCTCCTATCAAGAAGAAGTTTGGTCTCGGAGCTCCGCGAAGCCCAAGTGATGCTTAATTAAGCCTTCAGACACACTGGCAGCTTCGTCGAGGAAAAGGGATGATCAAGAGAGATGAATATCTTACCTAAGAAGAGGTAAGTCACTCGGTGGATTTATAACAAAATACAATACCAAAGTAAGTGCAGATCCTCTGCATTTTTTCACCAGTAATATTATTATAATATAATTATGAAATAAGCAGTTGTTCTAGTTCAAAAGTGGAAATAGGCCTTGTTCGCCTGACAGCTGAGTGGACAGCGCTTCGGATTCGTAGTCCTAAGGTTCCGGGTTCGATCCCCGGTGGCGGCGGAGGCAAATGGGCAAAATGTTTCTTTCACCCTGATGCCCCTGCTACCTAGCAGTAAATAGGTACCTGGGAGTTAGTCAGCTGCTATGGGTTGTTTCCGGGGGGTGTAACAAAAAGGAGGCTTGGTTGAGGACCTGGCCGCGGGGACGCTAAGCCCCGAAATCATCTCAAGATAACCACTTCTATTTGTTTACTGCCCTTGATGTGTATCATCAGGGGCAGTGATAAAAGTGATATTCTATTATATTTAAATTTGAGTGAACACAATAAATGGTTACGTTCATTTTAGTTTATTTTTTGTTTTCGTACTTGTTATCATCCAGTCACTGCCTGTGTGATTATGTGATTGTCAAAACTCGTTTTCAATTTGGAAGCTGACATTGTTAAATTCTTCATTCCTCTGCCTGCAGAAGAATGTTAGCTTCATTATTCTTAATAAATATTTAGTTTAAGAATGCCATATCGGTAGTGGGGGTATTTAGCTGTATTTTATAATAATAATTCATTGTGTTAGGACAGGCAGCCAGTTTATACATACAATACATATTAGACCTGTATTAAGGTTCCCCCAATGTCAAATTACAGAACCCCCCCCCCAGGATGCAACCCCCACAACAAGCTGACAAACTCCTGGGTACCTATTTACTGCTAGGTGGACAGGGCATTAAGTGATAGGAAATGTGCTCAACCAGTCTCGGAGTCGAGAATGAAGCTGACTATTATCAGGACCCTTGCTACAGACATGTATCAGTCTCCTGATAATTTACTTGTACATTTTCTCTTGTTACCACTTTAACTAGCAGATTAAACATACTGCTAAAAACATACTAAACATGATTCAGTTTGGGAGCGTGTGGCATAAATAGGAAGAAATACAAAGAAAGTACAGTAGCTGATTCTGTACTAATAGAAAATATTTTCAGGGTAATAACTAACCTAAAATTTTTATAAATCACAAGACGGTTAGAGCCTGATTTGCTGAAAATGCAGTAGATATAAGACTTAGCATGGATTATCAGTAATTTTTCATGTCAGTCTCTGCTTTCTGCACAGCTCATAAATTGTTTTATTAAATTATTTATTGTTAACACCAATTTTGTATTTGCTTGCTTGAGTTAAAGAGAAGGATTGTGTCCACTTGGTGGACTTAACTTGAGATTTTGGTTGGTGCAGTCATCAGGATTCGTGGTGTAGTGGTAAGACACTCGCCTGGCGTTCCGCGAGTGCTGTCATGGGTTCGTATCCTGGCCGGGGAGGATTTACTGGGCGCAATTCCTTAACTGTAGCCTCTGTTTAACTCAACAGTAAAATGTGTACTTGGATGAAAAAACGATTCTTCGTGACAGGGGATCGTATTCCAGGGATCATAGGATTAAGGACTTGCCCGAAACGCTACGCGTACTAGTGGCTGTACAAGAATGTAACAACTCTTGTATATATCTCACACAAAAAAAAAAAAAAAAAAAAAAAAGAGCTGACTTGTTTGCTGATTAGCTACTAACAGGTGACTTCGATAGTTTTACTTCCAAGGGTGAAGAAAGTTCTGTAGGACTTTTACTAAATATCATGGTTGTAGAAATTTCTGCATTTGTGGCTGCAGGTGATGTAATAGGCTTAAAATAATCTTTTATACAGGCTGCCTAGCTGATAATGCATGTCCTGTTGCAGATCAACCACCTTGTTGATTTCTGAAAAGAAATTACAGTATACATTTTTTTCAAAGTCAACCACCTTGTTGATTTCTGAAAGGAAATTACAGTATACATTTTTTTCAGTCATTTCCTGGGCTTCTGAAGTTATATTTTCTTCTTCTTACTCTGTTAGCTTCACCAAGTCTTAAACATTTAAACATACTGTACTGTACATATCTTTGGCATTCTTCTTAATGGTACAAGTACTTGAGGTTATCTTGAGTACTCATCAATCTTATAGTAGTGAAAACAGCAGCCTTGCCATTCTCCAGCCTGGTTAATATTTAAAGTTTTGTTTATAGTATGAAAATTACATTTCATCACCTTTTGATGTAACAGGAATTACTAGATAATTTGATAGGTTCCATGATGCAAGAAGATAAACTAGAAAGCCGTTAAAAGACATAAATTGTGTGTGGAATGACAAGATTCAAATGGCATTTTAAAGAGCTTTTATGTACTGCTATAAACAAGGGTTGTGGTATGTAATGTGCTTGTGAGGGGGATAGGAGTGCATGTGTAGGACAGGGGGTGGGTGTGGGGGGGATTTTGGAGTGCAGTACACAGGAAAGATAAGAGTGTCTGTATTTTGAACTGTTTATATGAAGTGCTTCTGCCATATGAAATTCACATGAAAGAAGTATTGTACCACAATTATACTTTTATATTATGCCTTAAAAAATAATCACCACTGCATGGCATTTGAATGAGTGAGTTTGCAATACTTATTCCTTAATAATTTGCGGATATTCCAGTGTTTTAGGTACAGTGTGTTAATGTATCTCTGTTTACAGGTGGCATGTACGGACAAAGGATAACATTGCTCGTGTGCGTCGTGATGAAGCCCAAGCTGCAGAAGAAGAGAAAGAAAGGGTGCAGAGGGCAAAGCTTGCTGTAAGGAATATATATAATTTACTTTAATCATAACTAAACTTGTAACACGGTAGAAATATTTAGTGAAACTTCTTAAGAGTACTGTAAAGTGTCTTTCAAGATAATTATTGAGTGGCTAGCTCCATCATACATGGCTGGCTCCATGTATGGTGGATTCCTGTTAGAACAGAATACAGGTAATTGGTTTTGGACCCATTAGATGCTTGTGATTTTTCATTGCACCCGACGTTTGCTATTTTATTTTGTTATAGTATTATAGTTCTAATGCAAGAAAGCTGTATTGGGCAGGAAGTGCATGGGAAAGACATTGTCATTTACTATATAACCTCATCCTTGTGTGGGTCAGATGGGTTCTTGCCAAGAAAGGGCACCACCTTCAAATTGTCTTGCAGGTCAATCTTTTAAGTAAACCTTCACTTCTTTGAATAAGTATTTCTTCCTAACAGTTTCAAAATGTCTCTAAACAGCTGGGCCTTATAAATGACAAGGATAAATTTGGTCCCTTTAAACACCTTCAAATTTTGGATCTTTCCAATCACTAGTTGCTTACACTGATGAGTGACAGCAGTATTAGTTAACCACAGTGAACCTATTTTTATTCTGCTTGTATCAAGCATTACCATTACTTTTACCATGGCTCAAGTACAGTACTGTACATGTGCCATGGTAACTTGTCTGATCATTATTATAAATTTGCTCAAGAGATTCATCATCCTCTCGCATTATCTAAAATTTGGTAATGTACCTCTCTGTCTCTTCTGCATCACTTGACCTCTTCTCCCCCACATGTTTAAACACACTTAATACAGTACCATGATGATGCTTAAACTACTGTGCCTTTGCCTTCCCTATGAGCAATCAATCTGGCACTTGTTCCTCTGTGTTGTCTGGCTTTTACACTCTTTTCCCCCTACACATATCTTGAGGTTATCTTGAGATGATTTCGAGGCTTAGCGTCCCCGCGGCCCAGTCCTCGACAAGGCCTCTTTTTTTGTTACCTTCTTCCAGGAAGCAGCATGTAGCAGCTAACTCCCAGGTACCTATTTACTGCTAAATGAACAGGGGCATCAGGGTGAAAAACTCTGCCTATTTGTTTCCGCCTCCACCTGGGTTCGAACCCGGAACCTCAGGACTACGAATCCCGAACGTTGTCCGCTCAGCTATCGGGCACCAGGGCTCATCAGCCCCATATGGAGCATAGCTGACCAACCTCTCGCAGTGTTCAAAAGAGAACTCAACAAGCACCATCAAAGGATACCTGGTCAATTAGGTTGTGAATCATATGTCGGGCTGCAAGCAGCTGCATCAAAACGCCCTAGCTGATCAGAAGAGCAACCAGGGAGCTTGGTTAGAGACTTCGCCGAAGGGACATTGATCCTATAAATCAACAGGTAGGTACAGTACCTGCATTACTCCCACACTATGGTGTCAACTCTCTTTACATCAACCTGACTCTTTGCCTTCCTCTACAATGTTTCTCTATCACTTTCACTTAAGCATAACGAGCAAAAATTTTATGTTTAGTGAAAATTCATAAGATAAAATAAAAAGAAGAGTTGTCAGTTGTCTGGTTCACTTTATATTTAATGAACATGAGACTTATTAAGAAAGAGGAAAATGATGTCCTTATAAGATGTTCTTTCTGCACAAAATTGATCACTATATGTTTCCTTATGGGTTATCATTAGGTGTACTCCATACTTGGAAGGTTTGATTTATTTATTTTATTCCAGTGCTGTGTTGACTTATTTCAGTATTATTGACTATGTAAGATGTATAACAGCAGCGTTAGGCTGGAGGAGGACTGACAAAGAGAAAGATATTAACTACATTAATTATTCAATAATTTGGATTATATGGGAACTTTGTTGTGGAGCAATGTGGAGATAGGAGTTGCCCAAAGTTCATACAGTGTTTGTAAACCTATTTCGTTTCCCCTCGGGATCGTCATACTGAGGCGCTGACACAAAAAAACTGTCAGCCTTTGGGTTTCTGGTGACGTCAATGAGCCTGGAGCCCAATTCTTTGAGAAATCCCAAGGCACTCTTACCCCAGGGGCCATGCGTCTCAGACGCTATGGGAACAAAGGTGTATTGACTTTCCAATCGCCTGTATTTGGCTGATTTTGCTATTTCCCTGTGGTTGGGCGCCCCACCTGCTTGATCAGCACCGAAGTGTGCATAGGTGTCAGCCAGGGTGGATACACATATGAAGTCCCACACCAACTGTTTGTCCCTTTTCCAAGGGTATATAGTGATGCAATCAGGGCGAAGTGTGGGGTCATCCAGGTTTTGGTTCCCTAGGATACGAGGTTCTCTCTCTCTCTTAGGACTATCTCTATCAGCCTGGATAGCTCCAGGGAGCCTCCGGGGACTCACCCAGAAAATGGCGTTTCATTACAATCAACGCTGGTTTTTTTCTCCCCACCTCCTCTATACCTTGGTCCAATGTCTTCTCCACTCCCCATAGGCCTTGCACCTTTTTTGGTCTTAGTATGGTCGGGTACACCACTTTCTTCAGGGGTTGTGATTTGTTCCTGTCTCCCCTTCAGGGATTTGGCAGCCATTTTATCTTTTTTTTAAGTTTCTGCACCTCCCTCTCTGACCGTTGCATGCTCATTTTCACAATGGTTCACTCAACATTGCCTGGGCTTTTTCTAGGTTGGTGTCCTTGATCCTCTCGGTCATGTTTTTATTCCTTCCTGCTTCTCCGTGGTTCTGGGATAGGTTGGATGTTTTCCTTTGGAGCTTTCGACCTGCCTATTTCAGGATTCTTCCCTTAAACTGGCGTCGGGCTTCTCAGTTGTCCTCTGGTTGGCTTGGGCTTTGTGGCCTGGCTGCTTCCTTCTTAATCTCGGGCTTCTCGACAGCTGGCTGGTTTGGGCTCCCCAGTTAGTCCATGTATATGCAAGCCAGGGTCCTGGTACTTCCCTGGTTGCCAGGATGTGTTCCTAGTGGCCTGGCAGTGGTTTCAATGTGTTCTACCCTGGGTCCTGCATTGGGATCTGGTTAAGACTGGTTTGTTTTTCCCGGCTGGTTTCTCCTGCTCCACCTACAGCGGTGCTGTTCCCTCCTTGAAGGCATTTGCTGTTGCTCTGGCTCCAGGTAGCTTGGCAGTTGTGTGAGTGGGTCCTGTGGGCCAGGTTAAGTTCTAGGTGCTGTCCTGGTTCTCTGGTTCTGCCAGTTTCACTGCTGCAGAGGCCATTGGGTTTGGGCCTGCACCTGTTAAAACTCGTGCCAGGCGAGTATTTTACCACTGCACCACAGGGACTACCATATCCATCAGCTCCAGATTGAGCTGGTTGGGTGTTTTGTACCTAAGTTCAAATAAACCATTTGTTTTGACTGATTCTGTTGCAGTGTGTTGACTGTTTAGGTGCTTTCTTTTTATGAACCATGCAGTTCTCTGTATTGTCTTGCCAGCTTTTCTGGGTGCTTTCCTGTGTGAGGGAGATCGTAACAATCCCCTTCTCTCTGTGCCTCTGCAAGGGGGAACTAGGTTCTGGCTCTGGGTCCTTGGGAGGCCAACAAAACTCATAAGACTGATGTAATTGTGTATGGGAGCTGTTTCAGCAAGTATAGTTTCACGTATGCACTGCGTCTCGCCTAGATTTTTTCCTATACAGTATATACATTACCGGTACTTCATGTTTATTTTGTTTATTCTGATACGGAAGTGTACAGTACTGTCAAAAGCCTTGTTATAACGAATTAAAATATGCAGAAATGCACATCATATAGTTTCAGTAAAAAAGTTGAAAACAGCCATGCCAGTGTTGACAGTGGATGGAACACAAGAGGGTAATCACAATTAGTGATTACCCTCTATTGCACAATGTGATTAGTGATAATCACATTCAAGAAGATTGCAAAGTACTTCCATAGCACCCCAATTAAATACCTCTAGGTAAACACTATGAATTTAAATATTAACATAATAAATATTTTCTGTCACTTGCAGGAGCAGGAAGCTCGAACGGCCTTTCTAAGGAATAAAGCACGATCAAAATATGATGGAGGATATGGAGAGACTCAGAGTGTACAACCAAAGAAGGCTCCAGAACAGAAACAACCTCCAGAATCCAAGAAAGCTCCAGAAGCAAATATATATACATCAGAGGGAAATATCAACTTTTTCAAGGACCTTGAAGATGGGAAGCAAATTGGTGGGACAAATAAAGAACATGAGGAGGAGAAAAAGGCTGAACAAGAAAAATATGAGAAAAGTATAGGGTATCTTACATATCTGGGCCAAGATTCACTGGAAGCAAAAGGAGGCAAAGCCTGGTATGAACTTGATAGTGGCAGAATCACTCAAAAAGATGAGGAAGACCCAGTCGACAACTTACAGGAAGTTGGGTTGAAGAGTAAGAGTAGGATGGACCCTATTAATGATATCATTAAATTTGCTGGCTTAAAACCAGCAAAAAGAGTCATAAAATCTTCCTTGCCAGTTACAGATGTTAAGTGTTCTACAAATCCTTTACCTAAACAAGAGAACCCTATTCTTTGTGAGGAGAGCTCTTCCAAGAAATATAGATACCTAAATAAACGACACAAGAGAAAACACAAAAAGGAACATAAAAAAATTAAGAGGAATAAGAAGAAAAAGTCAAAGGAAAGGATGAAAACAGATTTTTACAGCGATGAAGAGAAAATTAAAAAGAAAAAAGGGAAGATGCACAGAGATTTAAAGCGAAGCCGGGAGACGAGCAGCGATGATGGCACTGATGATTATAATTCTCAAGAGAGGAAGAGAAAGAAGACGTATCATAATCCAAGTAGAAGTATTGAAGATGAGCAAAGATGTAAAAACAGACACACCAGAAAAAGCAACAGCAACATTAGTAGTGGTAGCAGCAATATGACAGATAGCTCTTTGCAATACAGCAGTGATGACGAGGAGCTTGCAAAAGAAAAGCAGAGAAAGCTTGAAGTACTACGAGCTGAGAGGCTAAGACGAGAAGCTGACGAACGACGTAAAGCTGAGCGACTTCTTGCTGGGAAAAAACCTGATGTTTCTGAAGGTACTAGTGAAATTAAACCAGTCTTCCAGCAGAAATATAATTCTCAGTTTAACCCTCACATTGCACGTCAAAACCAGGAGCCAAAACCCTTGGAAACTGGTGTAAAATACTGGCTTCAATGAAGTATTGTTTATTGATTATTGTAAATACAATATATTTGATCATATTACTGTATTTCAAATTTTATTTATTTCTTGGTCTCTGTGCCATAACTAACATTTAAAGAAATGTATCTTATACTTTTCATACTATATTCACAGCATGTTGTGCAATAGATATTAATGGTTTTTCTAAATAAATATTATGTTTTACTTTGACTCTTAATTACCTGCCTTCGTGTTATACTACAGTACTGTGTTTAAGCAAAAGAACTGCACCCAAAACTTTTAAACCTTTTGTTGCTTACTAGTTATATGACTTCAGGTGTCAAAAACAGAAAAGCTACTGGTTGGTATATTTGCTAGCTAAGTATACTGACTGGCAATACTGTAGAGTGATGGGGGTGGGGAGGCATTCTAGCTCACGTGTATACAGATTGATGACACTGTTGGGTGGAGAGGGAGCGCGGTACACAGATGACAATGTGAACAGTGGGGTATACTGATGATGCAGGTGGGCGGGGATTGTCAGAGTAATTGATACTATTAAAGAAATATTGGTTCAGCATTTAGCTTTCATATTCACCACCAGTCGCTTTCCTGTATGCAGGGCAGGAATATCCTTACAGATGAAAGACAATATGAGTCACTATACAGAAGAGTCCACTAGAGTAAAGAGTCACTGTAGTTGTAATGAAGCCTTCAGCACCCTCTGGCATCTACAAGAGTTGCAGGTAATCTCTACAATGAAGCCCATGAGAGCTACAAGATGCCCAACCACCAACACGTAGAATGCACTCTGCATCTGTGAGAGAGAGATATTTTAAAATATCCTGCTACAATACCAAATAAGCCAAGTTTTCATGAATTAATTGTTTTTCGACTACCTAACCTACCTAACCTAACCTAACCTAACGTTTTCAGCTACCTATAACCTAACCTATATATATATATTGGTTATATATATATATATAAAAAAATATACCTATATAATATATTTATATTTCATAAGAAAAAAATAGAGAAAATATATTAATTCAGGAAAAGTTGGCTTAATAGCCAGAATGCACTACTTGCCCTATTATGCAAGGCCTGATTTGCCTAAAAGGCAGTGATTTTTGTTATTTAAAAAAATCTAAATTTGGTATATTTGAATTAATACTACTCTATGAACAAATCCACAAGGACCGTGATGAGGGTTCGAACTTACGCCTGGGATGATCGGATGATCCCAGATGCTGCCTTAGTCAACTAGGCCACGACATGGTTAAAAGAATTGTAACCAGGAGTTCCACTGACCTCACATTGACCTCAAATTCTTTTAACCATGTCGTGGACTAGTCGACTAAAGCAGCGTCTGGGATCATCCTGGGTGTAAGTTCGAACCCTCATCACGGCCCTTGTGGATTTGTTCATTTGATGCATCACACTATTGTGATTTCTGTGTGTATTGAAGTGAGGACGAAGAGTTAGAACAGCTAGTTGGCAGAGTCCGAGTGCATGGGGAAATTGTGTGAAACCCTGGTTTGTGTCTCGGAGAGGCTGCAGGATCCATGTGAGGTCAGTGGAACTCCCGGTTACTATTCTTTTAACCATGTTATGGCCTAGTCGACTAAGGCAGCGTCTGGGATCCTCTCGGGCGTAAGTTCAAACCCTCATCACGGCCCTTGTGGATTTGTTCATTTGATGCATCACGCTATTGTGATTTCTGTGTGTAGTGTAATACTGTACTACTATATTATATTAAGAACATGAATTAGTGACTTAGAAATAAGATCAAACCTAACCTAACATAACTATGTTAGTTTTAACTCAAATTATAAAAATAAAATTATATATAATATAATGGAAAGCTTTATCATTCCATAAGAAAAAAAAATTATAATGTCAGGAAAACTCAGCTTGTAAGGTAAAATCTGGTCTTGCATATTAGGCCAAGTAGTGTATTCTGACTATTAATTATAACATATATATAAGTGGCTGTGACAATGTGGTTGTTTTCCACTTTCATGGAGTGTGGAGGTATCAGTCCTGTTTCCCACTAATTTTTTTTACCTTCATAAAACACTGCTATACAGTATTTTTTTTTTTACCAACCTGGATAAGATTAAGAGCTTGCAGGTTCCCCTTGGAAAGCTGTGTTTCGCAAGATGTCGAGTAGAAGTCCGCTTTAATTTTGTCAATGATGCCAAAGGAACGCAACTGGCGTAGTCTGCAGAGAGAGATGTTGGTATAGTTACTGACTGGCGCTTATCTGAGTTGAGTATCATCACTTGGTAGCATCATCTCAACAAATTGCCACACACATGTCTGGCATATAAGCATATTCTCTCTCTCTTTCTCTCATATGCACCTTACGACACTGGAAGACAGAAGAGTAAGGGGAGACATGATCACTACCTACAAAATTCTCAGGGGAATTGACAGGGTAGACAAGGATACCTATTCAACACTGGTGGTACGCGTACAAGGGGACACAGGTGGAAACTGAGTACCCACATGAGCCACAGGGACGTTAGAAAGAACTTTTTCAGTGACAGAATAGTTAACAGGTGGAATGCATTAGGCAGTGATGTGGTGGAGGCTGACTCCATACACAGCTTCAAGTGTAGATATAATAGAACCCAGTAGGCTCAGGAACCTGTACACCAGTTGATTGACAGTTGAGAGGCGGGACCAAAGAGCCGGAGCTCAGACCAAGCACAACTGGGCGATTCATGGCAACTCGTCCAACGATACTTACGCCAAATCGATCCTCTCTCTGAAGACAGAATTCTGTCGATAAGCCATAAGGTCGAGATCGGGCTGAAGCACTTGACGGGACACGTGGAAGCGACACTCCTCTGCCCTTGACTCAAACATGGCGGCCCGACCCACTCCCGAGGAGTAGGTGTCTGTATGAATGCGAGAGGAAGATAAGGTACATCTATGAGTGCGACAGGAAGATATAATTCACTGGCTTCAAGAAGCCAGTGTATTCATATACGTTTTGGCTTTTATCGAGGTCCCCGACTTTGGACATGACTGTCTCTTTCATATCAACAATGGCGGTGTGTTGTGTATTTCGGTGCACCAAAACACTTGAATTAGGGTGGAATTATTTGTTATTATTCATGACAACGAGATACGAACAGTCATAATTATCAGTTGTTAAAAGTGTCATAAATGACATATGTCAAACCATCGCAGTACGCTGCTAGCCTTATTTATCTCATTTCCAACTAGCACTTAATTCCTACGCCTAATGTTAACTAACCTAACGTAGCTTATAGCCTAATCTAATATCAATATTTTAGTATAATTATAATAAAAAACGCTAAGCCAATACGATTATATAGCAAAGTAAGGATGGTTACATAGCAATACCTAAGCTAACCTAGCATTCCATAGCCTAAACTAACTTTGCTAACCAAGCCCAGCCTTGCCTAGCCTAACTTAACCTAAGTTTATCGTCGAAAAAAGCATTTCTAGCTGAGAGTTGGAAATATCCACTCTCATTTACACCACCACACCACAATCATCCATACGTGCTTACCATCACCCACGCGTGCCATGTTCTTACGTTCATCCATGTCTCACATTCATCCACACATCATCCACGCGCATCATGTACAAAATACTCACCAATAAGCGCGTACTTTCCACAGTGAACGAGTTGAAAAAATCCCCAGGTGTTGATGAACTCATCTTGATGGAAGGTCAGCTTTGCCGCTATGGGGCGATAGCTCTCAAACTTCTTAACAATTGAACAAGAGTGAAATTAGAGCATGGCTTTCATTTGATTTTGTTCATTTATCATGGACCCCATTCCCATCCCGTGGATGAAAGTGGGCAAGGTTACGGAGGCACATAATACATGATTGTAACTTGAGGGAACTGAACACCAAAGTTAAAATCTTAATCAACCAATTAGTGAAACTAGATTATCAAAAGAAGGCACCAAGCTTGGAAGATTATGTAGCAACGTGAAGCTAGTTACACAGTTCAATATATATTATATATATTAGTCTATGCAGAGCAATTTGCAGGTGTTCAAGCTAGGCTTTCAATGTATAAAAACTTACAACAATACCAATAATAATAATACATGTCAGGGTTGGGTTATTTATTTAATAATGTTAATGAAAGTAATGATTTCTGTTTAAACCTAGAAAATCTCCCTTCCCCTTACACACACACACAACTAACCACAACGAACTGGTAATAGACCGTGTTCTTGCGCACGATCGGGATGACGGTATCCAGCCTCTGGATGAGGTCCATGGCTGAGTCTATGGGAGGCCCCCTCTTGGGCACCGCCAGGAAGGCGACGATGAAGCCCTGGTAGACTCCCACTAACGACACCACCGCCAGGAAGACGCAGGAGGCGGCTACCAGGGCTGACAGGGAGACGCTCCAGGTCCTGCTCCCTGTTGGAGGATAGGTTTGATTAATCCAGACAACAGCTCCTATTTTGTTGCTTTCGGGGGTAGAAATAGCCTAAGCTACTCTGTCCCTTTGAGATGTATTTCTTTCTTATCTCAATAAACATACTTGAACTTAGTGGGAGGGGCTTCAGTCATAGAAACCTCTGGAGGATTATTATGACCACATAAATAGCTAAATGACCAATGGGCAAATATAATGAAATCCTGACCAAAGTTCAAGGACTAAACTACCAAATAATCGTGATTACTTGACAGTAATACAAAGTGAGGTACATCTCTGGATAGTGTATATTAGTCCTAGTTTATAAGTTGCGATGTGGGGCAGCCGTTTTCTTTAGAGTGCGGCGCTACAGAAAATAATAAGGCTTAAAATATACCTCGTTGTCGGTGACAGGAAACCTGTGGATCAAGCAGTTACACAAGTACTTCCTAACTAATACTATGTTATTATTTAACAAATATACGGAAGAACACTGCACAATGGTTAAATCAGTAGTTAAATATATACACATTTAATTAATAATTAATTTTGTTGGGGACAGGTAGCCTGTATGTATTCACCTAGTTGTGCTTGTGGGGGGGGGGGGGTTGAGCTCTGGTTCTTTCGGCCCGCCTCTCATCTGTCAATCAACGATTATTTTTTTAACACACAAACACACACACACACCCAGGAAGCAGCCCGTAACAGCCGGGTACCTATTTACTGCTAGTTAATAGGGACATCAGGGTGAAACTGGCGATTTGTTTCCGCCTTCGCCGGGGATCGAACCTGGAACCTTAGGACTACAGATCTCAAGCGCTGTCCACTCAGTCGTCAGGCCCCTGACAACAATAGTGTTAACGCATCATCTCATCCAACAACAAGAATACCAATATTTAAGGAAGAACTAAAGATGGACTGTTTAGCCCCAACGCCATAAAAGGTCCAGCTAGTGTACGATTAATTTCGTTGATGACTTAACTTGACGTAACCTAACCTTGCAGGACGAAGAGCTTGAGGATGGTGGCGACGGTGGCCAGGTAGGAGACGTGGACTTCCGTCACTGGGGCATCTCTCCGGTGCAACTTCCTGCAGGATATCAATAATTATGGTGATTAGAACGATACTTTCAGTTCAAATAGTGTACGATTCGTCCACAGTAGCAATAGGCACTTCCCATGGTTAGAGGATGGGTTACATTATTAACCATTATTGTACCAATTATTCAGATAAAGGTACAATATAAATTAATAATGTAAACCCATCCTCCAAGCATGGCAAGTGCCTATTGCTACTATGGGTGAAACGTACTTATTAATGCTTTTAATAACCAATTTGAAATTCATAAGTCCATGGATATATACATGTTAAATACAGCAGAATACGAATCGGGTGATCATGAGCCGGGAAAAGGGAGCGTGAACACTTGTGTGGAAACAACACCCAGGCACCAGTACCCACCTGCCGGCCCGGACGGTGCCCAGCACGAGGTCCAGCACCCACAGGAAGCTTCCTGAAGATACACCCATTATCAGAATCGTCACCCACACCTAGAACACAGGAGGTACAGAATCAAAATCGTCTCCACCACCACCAACAACAGAGGTACAGCATTATCCACAAAATCGTTATCCACACCTGCAACACGGAAACAGACGCTTGGCAACTTTATACAGTATGTTGACCAGACCACACACTAGAAAGTGAAGGGACGACGACGTTTCGGTCCTGGTCTCAGGTCGATTGTGCACAATCGACTTTAGAATGCTCCAGGACGGACCGAAACGTCGTCGTCCCTTCACTTTCTAGGGTGTTGTCTGGTCAATATATTTCAGCCACGTTATTGTGACTCATCGTCTGTATATGCAATATATGCATAACACACCCCAGCACGAAGATCGTCAGCAACACATGCAAAACAGACAACCTCACCTGAGGAGCAACTCAAGTACTACATAGTTACCTTACCTGAAGAGCAAATGCTTTTTCGACGGTAGCGGTGAGTTAGAATGCCGTAGTTCCCCGCTATTTTACTTTGTGAACGCACACCCCCCGCGAACGGGAAGGGAGTTGGACTCACCCAGCCTGAGAATATGTGCAGGAGGAGGAAGGGCCGTTGGAGAGGCCGGGGCGCCTGTGAAACGATGATAACGTTGTCCCTACTGAACCACTCGCTGAAGTCCACCACCAGCGCCCGCTCCAGTGATGGCGAGAAGTCCATAGGCGAGACGTCGGCCTCCTGACGAGTAGACAAATTGTTTTAGCGACAGATACAGACCTACCCGAAATCCGGAATATAGTTTTTTTGATGGAGTTGTTTATTTTAGGAGATTTTAAGGCAGTTCGTATTCTAGAATGAACGAAGAAATAGTTTTTAAGAAGAGTGAATTCGTGGGACCTTGCTTTGTTTATATGAAACAAGAAGAATTTTAAGGTTGTCTTGATTTACTGTAAGGAGTTCGAAAGGTTTATATTTTCTGCGGTGCGGGTTATCAAGACGTTGTTGTGTTTAAGAAGCATGCGTTAAAATAAGGTCGGTCCGATATGTTGATAGCTGGGTGCAGCGATAGACGGAGGCAGGGACAAATATTCTCTCGTGTTATGACCCACTCCTCGTGTTAAGGTGACCCACCCCTCGTGTCAGATGACCCATCAAGCCGTTCCAAGAGCCATTGGGGAGCTGGCTACCGAAGGTGTTAGTGGTCATGAGCACCACAGAGAGGTTCAGTCCTCGCTGCAGCGTGCGGACAACCTCGGCGGCGTACCCGTCCGCGTTCTCCAGGGAGCCTGGGCGCTCCTGACGGCCTCCGCGCATCTCGAACACCCGAGGCTTCTGGCACACGCATCACAAATGGAAAGAATTCTTGTATTACAAAAGTATTATATATGACCGAAAGGGTAAGATTAATTATTCTAACGCGAATCTTCTCAATATTTCTTATGTTTTTCTTCACTGTCGAGGGGGTAGTTGAAAAATTAACTCTCCAAAGTTCATTTTCACTTTTTATTTATGGTCTGTGTGTGTTTTTATTTATGGTTATAAACCATAAATAAAAAGTGAAAATGAACTTTGGAGTAACGTACATAAACAATGGTCATAACCAAATTCCTGCCGTAGAAGTTGACCGAAGGTGTTGCTTTTAGTCCCCCGTCGAGCACTAGCCCAGAAGACCAGCTCCAGATTCCGACCTTTCTGAAGAAGACGCTGCCGTCCCCAGGAGACTCCGCCACGTGGAGGGTGACTTGAAGCCTCGCCGAGGAGGAGCTGATAGAGTCCCCCTTATTGGTCTCCGGTCTGGTCTTGCTGCTGCGCTGAAAAGTTGTTTCTGTCTGCTGAGCACCAAAGTTCGTGCTCGCACGCTCACTCGCCGTGTTCTGGCGTTTGAGCCTCTGGCTATGATCACGCTCACTCTTCCCATCATGGCGTCTGAATTGCGTCTGCATTCGCTCAGTCGAGTCGTCTCTCCTGCTCGCGAACACCAACTCCCTCACACTGTTTTTCCCTTCACGGCTCTCTCTTCTTGGCCCAAGGGTTTCTTCGAGGGAATGTTGAAGGCTAAGCAGCACAACATTCAGCTTTTCAGGGATGCTTGATACCACTAGTGCTCTCACGTCCGTGTTTACCGCATCGGTGGGCACAAGCAGATACAAGGTTTTCTGAAACAGTAACATATTAACAGTGAGCTAACCTCTCCTCATAGTCTATCATCTCGGAGTTAAGGAGTAAAACCAGAGTTAATTTCGATTATCTTCTGCAAAAATGTTGCATGATAATGTTTGTGCATTAAACAGTTCGCCAGTCATGGTAATATAACTTACAGTTATATTGATAGTGTTTTTGGCTGCCAGTCTCCGGATCTGTCACAAAGAAACACGCGGCAGTTAGTAACAATTGCAATACAACGATGATGTGAATAGTACAATAATGAGTTGAAGAAAGAGTTGTGTAATGAAGTAAGGGCGAAGAGGTAGAACGGCCTATTGGTATAGCTCGAGTGCATGGGGGGAGTTGTGTAAAACCCTGGTTTGTGTCTCGGAGAGGCTGCAGGATCAAAGTAATTTCAGTAGAACTTCTGGTTTCAACTCTTTTACCTTGTCGTAGCTCAGTCGATTAAGGCAGCGTCTGGGATGCTCTCGGACGTAGGTTCGAATCCTCGTCACGGCCCTTGTGGATTTGTTCATTTGTGCTCAACCTACCTTCCCTCTCCAGGCTCGAACTCGGGTCTTCGCTACAGCGGGTGATGTCATGGCCCACCGAAACGAAATGGCTTCTACTCAATGCCCATTAAAATGTAAATAGACAAAAATACAAATCCTGCAGCCTTTAGCAATGCTGCATATACAAAAATGCACAAAGTTGCCTTACACCCGTACTAATGAGTGAACTAAAACATTTAAAATATGTGTACTGCTAAAATCTGTGTACATTTCGCAGTAGCTTCCACTATAAAGAACCCCTGGTGGGACTCGAACCCACAATCCTTGGCTTAGGAGGCCAATGCCTTATCCATTGGGCCACAGGGGCGTGCTGTAGTTCAGTGCTGCAAAACTTTAGCAGTCATTGTGACCTCTGTACCGAGGCTACGGGGACACTTTTCAGTGACTTCCTGTGTAAGAGTTCAGTCCCCGTGACCCCATAACGTGACCAACATTTTCCACTACTTATTTATTTATTTATTCATATACAAGAAGGTACATTGGGGGTTAACAGAGAACATAGAAATGAAGTTGATTTTACATTCTTGTAAACTATCGTTCCGCTTACTACCGCTCACAACATGGGTATAGGGGGTGAGCTACCCCCCCTCACAACATGGGTATGAGATTTAATACCGCTCACAACATGGGTATGGAGATGGGAATAATGTTAGTATCATACAGCTAGCTCCTGATACAAATTGTAACCCCATAATACAGCGGGTACAGGGTTTATGCAGCTTTCTTTATACAGGGAAGCTGCCTAAGTGGGGACTGTACTGCACAAATGGGGAGTGTACCTATGATAGTACACAGCCCCTGTAGCACCGCTACACTCACTAGGGCCAGATAGTGGAGGAGGCAGCGGACGCGGCCCACCAGGACATAGGTGGCGCCGTCACTATGGTAGGCTGAGTGGCCCAGGGCGGTGACCTGGCACTCCAAGGGGGTCCACACGCTCGTGGGGGTCCTGCCCCCCTTCCACACCCCCCTCACGAACACCTCGTCTGGCACCACGAGCCCAGGAATAATAATAATTATATTATTTGTATTATTATAAGAATGATAATACAAATGAAAATAACAATAATAATTGAAAATATAACAATTGCAATCATTATAATATTAATAATAATATTAATAATAATAATAATAATAATAATAATAATAATAATAATCGGGCATTATACAAAGTACTGATGAGCGACCGACGAAGCAAATCTAGATATTTCTTAATTAATGATCTTAGAAAGTTATATGCACCTGTGCTTGTGTTTATCACCTATGGTGTCCGCTTGCGCTTACGTGCATTATTTTTTTGTATTATAATTGTTTACAAATTAAATATAATATATAAACTCCAAAATAAGGATTGATCGAGAAGAGTTAAGAATCAACCATATGATGCCGACTTCCTCGTTTGCCAAGGCTGAGCGCATCACTCGATATATTCCCAAATTACAAGATTTCCTCACTAAGTTGGTCTACTGACCCTGGTCTTCGCTCAAGCAGAGGTGCACATGAGCCACGGTCTTACGGAACGCCTCAGGAAGACTGTGTAAGGCTGAGCCTGTAGCTACGCCGAGGGCTGTCCGCCACCCTGCTGCCATGGCGCTCTCAGCCCCTACACCAGCGCCCAGGGCCACACCTGCAGCAAATACCTAGTATATTAGGACAAAACCTCGTCAAACTAAGGCAACATATGCAAGCCAGTACAACAACAGCCAGAGGGCGAAAGGCTGTTATTGGATTACAAATTCAACTTCCAGATTGACAATTACAGGGTACGTAAAATCGTAAAATTAATGTTAACTGGTATTTAACGCTCCTAATGATTACACACACACATATATATATATATATATATATATATATATATATATATATATATATATATATATATATATATATATATATATATATATATATATATAATATACTCCTAATGTCCTATTTCAATTAACAATGAGATCTTTAATTCTTAGCCTCTTCTCTTCTAAGTTAATTTACGTAAAACTCATTAGTCCACTTGTTCGGCTGAAGGCATAATTTTAAGTTCTTCTCTTGGAAATATATACAGAGACAAAATGTTTATTTAAAATAGTACTTATTTCTTTGTCATTATATGTTATCTGACCTGTCTCAGCTTTTAATGGCCCAGTCTTCTCCCTATTGTTTATTTGAATAAAAAAAATCTTTAGGTTTTGTCTTGGCTTTTTATTAGGCTTCCCACTAGACTTCTTAATAGGCTTCCCACTAGGCTTCCATTAAGCTTCTCCCTAGACTTCCAACTATGCTTCTAAGCTTCCATTTAAGCTTTCTCTTAGGCTTAACACTGGCTGCCTGTCCCCCGACAAAATAAATTTTATTAGTTGTATTATTATTGTATACTTAAAGCAAACTCCATCAGACAGTAAGGTTTCCTAATCCGGTTTCCCATATAAATTTGATCTTCAATCAAACCATCATTATCGCACATTAACTTACCATACCACAAGAGCCAACTAATCTTGCACACTGCTTCCATACTCTGAAAACAAATATGTCTTTATGACAAAATTTATGTGATTTTTAGTTATGTATTTTTATTGTTCTACTGTTTGTTTTTTCCTAATATTTTGTGGTCATATCCGGAGTAATATAATAAATATTTACAAAAACGTTTTCTGTGTAAAAATGTACGCAAAATTTTATCAAATAAACAACATCAAATGAACAAATCCACAAGGGCCGTGATGAGGGTTCGAACCTACGTCCGGGATGATCCCAGACGCTGCTTTAGTCGATTGGGCCACGACATGGTCAAGGGAATTGCACTCCCGGTTGCAATTCTTTTGACCATGTCGTGGCGCAATCGACTAAAGCAGCGTCTGGGATCATCCCGGGCGTAGGTTCGAACCCTCATCACGGCCCTTGTGGATTTGTTTATACTTGCTGGTTGTCAGTAAGCCTTAATAGTACTCTACAGCTTCTTAAGTCCAACACTAATTTTTCACGCCTTTCAAGTATTTTCAAGTACTTTTATATTTAATAATACATCTTCAGAAGGATGGGAAGATCCTTCTGAAGATGTATTATTAAATACGAAAGTACTTAAGGAAAGAATTTCTTAATCATTCCTTTGTGGTCTAATCTTTATATATATATATATATATATATATATATATATATATATATATATATATATATATATATATATATATATATATATATATATATATAAATAAGAGAGAGAGAGAGAGAGAGAGAGAGAGAGAGAGACATAATGAAATGGGTAGCTTTATCATTCATAAGAAAAGAAATTGAGAAAATATATTAATTCAGGAAAACTTGGCTTATTAGGCAAATCGGGCCTTGCATAGTAGGCTGAGAAGTGCGTTCTGGCTATTAGGTACGACATATATATATATATATATATATATATATATAGAGAGAGAGAGAGAGAGAGAGAGAGAGAGAGAGAGAGAGAGAGAGAGCGCTATACACTAGTCAACAAGTGAGAGGTTCAGAGGCTGAGGACTTCGTTCCCCTGATGAGCGTCGTTGGTGAACTCTGGGAAGGACAGATGAGCGAGTGAATGCGAGTGAATGCGTGCCGGCCAGCTACTAGGGTGAGAATGTTTATTTGCCGCATGCGCAATCGACATTCCAATAACACGAACAGAAAATACAAAAACACGAATTATATATAAAATATTGAGCACCCACTGCAAACCACCCGTCCACAAAACACTTACAAATCACTCACATACGCTAAAGATCTCTCACAACTATTGGTAACTACTAACTTGCCCACGTGGGTTATTAACCCATCCTCCATTAATGATTGTACTTCATAGTAATTATTTTGTCAAGCATTCAAAAAATGACTGTTGAATCCAATTTTTTTAAATCCATGCCGTATTTCCTTGGATTTTTATAACTTTACAAAACTGAATGATTTGGTTACAGGAATTCTAGTCAATATCGTTTATATCTATTATAGAGTATGTCTGGCTGTCCAAGATTGGAGGTCAGACGCTTAGAGCTAGTCTCACATAATTTTGCAGGATGACTGGTATGTAGCTAACATGCGCGGGTAAGGGGGATGTTCTCAGCAAATGGGGTCGGTCCCCACGAAAATGGGGAGATGAATCCCCTTGTCGGTCCCCACGAAATTGGTGAAAATGAAAGGTGGGTGGCCGAATCCCTAGAATTTTATCAACTACCCTGGGACCCAAAATTTGCCAGCTACTGCACTGTATGGCCCTGTATGACTAACCATCCTGTGTGATGGGGATTTTTTAGCATCACGTAGCTAGCTTTTTGACACACTGTACTCCCCTTCATATAGTCTAGGGCAGCTGCACAAATGCAGATGTACCTAAATGAGTTAATGAAAATAAAATATAAAAATATCTACCTACCTAGTGTATACTCTACCTTGGAGTAGATATACAGTAGAGCAAAGAGTGCTAAGGCGATCCAGGCAGCGGTCCCAGCACTTAACTGGTGTCCCTGGGCACCGCCGGGTACCTCACGCAGTAAGTTATAAAAAAGGGGCGAGTCTCAGAATAGTCCTTTTTGGCACTCCACTTAAAAGCTAAAAAAAAAGAAAAGTGAGCTCAACCGGTTTCTTCATTTTCCATGGCCTCCTCGGCATTCACCTTGCAACACTTTACCAACCATTTCATTTTTCAATTAAAAAAAGAGTCAGACACTTCATTCCATGTCATCACACTATTTCCTTTATTCCTTCCAGACATTATTCCAGTAACTCGAGCATCGATGACCGTCTTGTCGAAAAGTCGAGTTGATGATCAATCATCCAACTCCACAAGGTTGACGTTAGGCTGCCAATCTATGAAACGTCATGGAGATTCTTCTCCATGTTCACCCATCAACGGGTGAGCTTTAGCTGTGGTAACTGTATTCAGCTTCGTAACACAAGCAGCTGGGGTGGGGATATATGGCCAGAGCACACATGTGTACAAGAATGTAACAATTCTTGTATATATATATATATATATATATATATATATATATATATATATATATATATATATATATATATATATATATAAAAATATAAAAAAAAACTCACCGCTTTAAAATCTCAACAAAATAAACTACCTTTGATTCTCTAAAAGTCACATCGGAATACCTTTTAATACTTTTGAACCATCTGAAGTCCTTAGAGTAAATTACATCCCTTGGAGTGTGTTTTCTTTGAGGCCATTTAAATTTTAACCTAGTTCATTCAAGTTAATTTGAACCTTTTAAACGTCGTTTTGAGTTCACCAAAAAGCCTCTCTGTTACTCGGATACTCATTACAATCCTATGAAAACGTTTCCTTGGGATCTATCAAGGGTGCTTTAATTGCTTTGAACATTTTTAGAGTCCTTTGGGCTTCCGCTGCCAAAAATGCAAGATATTCCTTACCAATACACCCTCTCCCTGACTATCATCCAGTTTTGTTTTATTTCGAAAACTATTTATATTCACAATGAATTTTCATTGACTCTTCATATTGTTGCATTTAAGAAAGTCGTCGTAAAAGACTTAAATTTACGAGAACAATATATAGTGAACAAGGCTGCTTTAAAGCGCCCAGGAAGACGAAAGGAGAAAACAGGCCAAACGATAAAGAGCGGACACGCTAATGCTTGCGGTCGCTGTATTTTCCCGCCCGACCCAAATAGCCATATCTGTGACGCCAGCGAAGGTGTGCCACATATCTAACATTTTTCTTCCCTTATGGCAAGATTCGACAATCGCTTACAGGTCTGAGCCTCCGACGGCGCCTGTTAGGCCTCCGACGGTGCCTCTCGTACTCAGACAATATACAGGTAGGGAGCGAAAATGAAAATACTGAAGCGAGCGCGTCTAGGAAGTGGCACCCGCGCGGGGTGAAAACAAAAGAGCAACGTGAGTCACTTGGGAAGATGCAGTGTCGTGCGATTTATGGAATGGAATGAGTTGATTTTGTTGTTGGTCTGGGAGAGTGGCTGGTGGGAAGGGTATTATACTCTTTGTATATGCTGTAGTGCTGGCTTAGGCCTGATATAATATATCGTTAATTAATTGCTAACTGATTGAATTTCAGAATTCTGAATGTTAGACTTAAAGCCTACCAACTGCGAGAGCTGTTGAGGCCTCAACTACTTTACTGTACAACCACAAGGTGAACACAAAACAGTCAAATGAAAACCTTCATTTAAAATTAGGTTAATTTATACACAATTTGAGTACATTATTTTACATGAAGGTTATATCCTAACAACATAACACTCGTTATAACTGTATTTTATAATCTAGATTTAGAAGCTTCATTTGTTTTTATGTCGGTGATTTACACAACGTCATTACCGTTTGAGTGGAGGGAACAGGTGTACAGGTGTAGGTGGAGGGAACAGGTGTACAGCTGTAGCTGGAGGGAACAGGTGCAGAGCCGTACAAGAAACATATTGCTTAAAATTAGGGCGTTGGATCTTATATTGACAAAACATATAGCATTAAATTAACATGATGAGATGACAAATTAACTAATAACATAAACTAATTATACCATAAAGATATGGATACTTGCGATCCCTCACTCTCATACATCAACAGATTTAAGGGACGGTGTTGATCAACACATAGCCTCAACACACAGCTCATGCAAC